AACGCCCCCTATCGTCAGAGTCAGCAGCTACATGTTAGCCTATGGAATTTTACCCCCAAAAAATCGTTGTTTTTTTTTTTTGTTTTTTTTTGTTTAAACGAAAAGCACATCCACCCCGACGTACGTTATCACTAGCTCTTTCATTGGAACCGTCATGTCCCATTGACTTTTGAAACCTCACCCACCGTAATTTGATCAAAATAGGTTGCAAGCTCGCCATTGCCTATAATACACATGTAAAACAAGTCGAACTTTGGACTCAGTTTGCCAAGCGAATTTAAGATTATAGGTCAAGCACACAAAGGATAAGAAGCATGAATTATCATAGATCACTTCTGCTTGGTTCATTATGTCCATTTCATCAAACCCCTCACCGTAATTTTTCCATTTAGTAAAATCAAACATTTTGCCGAGGTAAGCAAAAACATGAATATTCGTGATCACCATGGACTATTCGATTATTTAACAGAGGGTGAAATTGTGCATCACATCAAACCCCTACTTTAAGTCAAGTATTTCATTGTATTATGTAGTTTGGTAGGATTATTTTAATAACCGTTTAATTATCAGATATCAATGATAGTTTAAAGATATGGAAAATGTTCTTGTATTTTATTTTTAGCAAAGCAATCTCACATACAAAATTTACTACCAAGTGTCGTCTTATCCGTCGATTGTCATCTGCTATATACGTCCAGCGAGCGAAAATGAGACAACCGGAGCAATATGTTTTCGACATTCGATCAGGCACACGTTCCTCATTGCTCCGCCATTGAACCCCGCAATATTCAAGCCGTCTGTTGGTTATGGATCAGTCATGTATCCGACATCGCTTGAAGATCGGATCCAATATTTTGTAAAGCCTTTGCCTATAGTTCCTTTTCATCGCCATGTAGATGAAAGGATTAATCCAACATTGTGACGTGGACAGAATTAACACAATTCTAAAAGCTACTGAACTCACGCATCCCCCAAAATGTACCGTGTAAATCTGCCACACTGCCGTAGGTAACCAGGCAACGAAGAATGCCGCAGGGACTGCGATGCAGACGAGCACTCCTTTCAGCTCTGATGGTTGCCGCCTACCCGGCATCCGCGGATCACCTTTCGCGCCTTTTCGCTTCTGCGTTTTGTCCGATGACGTTGCGTCCGTTTTCAAGTCTTTATTAAGGGCGCTGTCCCTGAACCGGCCCTCCGATTCGGCGATTCGACGAGCTTGTTTTTCGAAACGTTGGCAACCATTCCTTGCATGATTGTCATCATGATTGCGAACAAAATCAGGATGTATGAAAACACGTAAATGCTGTAAGTTAAGGGTCCTCGCGATCGTGCAACAAAGTTAGCGTAACAGAAACCAACCATCGGATAAAACTGAACATCTGAGAAAGGCCCCTTGCTTCCTACACCTATAAACACGGCCATCAGCGCGTAGTAACTAACGGTAACGAAGAGAGAAACGGCAGTGGCCCTGGACTTGGTGATCATGGACGCGTACTTGAATGGGTGAACGACGGCGATGAAGCAATCGTAAGTGACGAGGAGAATGAGGATGATGGATATACCAAGATTCGTGATGATCAGGTAGATACAAAACACGCAAAATCCACGACCGAATGGCCATGACTTCAGAACTACTGCCGATATCGAGGGTACCCAGCCAATACCCGTACAAAGATCCGACATGGATAGGAAATAGAATACCACTTTCCTAGGTTCACTGATGTCCGTCAACTTTCGAAGCACTACGAAATTGAGCGTATTCCCAACGAAGCAAAGAAGACAGGAAACAACCAGGAAAGCTGCGTAAACGTACTGCACTGTTGCGTGTCCCAAAACTTCTTCAGTTGAGCTATCATTAGCTCGGCAGTTTATTGAATCCATATTTCCGCTGAATGTAGCCAAATCCTTATCAGCCGCCAACAAGTTGATCCTTTGTTTTTCCAATGGCGCATGCATTCCAAAAGTTTAATGGAAAGACCGTCCACTGTGCCACACGAAATTGCAGCCTGGCATCGATGTTCATTCGTTGGAATACGTTTTCCTTTCCAGATATGCAAATTAAGCTACTTTTTTCTTCTTTATCTCTCTCTCTCTCTCTCTCTCGCTCTCTCTTTCAACCCCACTTACGAGTGCTTTGACAGAGTCTGATGACCCGACTTTATAATTAAACGCTTATAGGTATGCTAACCTCGTTTCGCCCAGATAATGTCAATAAGTGAAGAACAGGCAATCAGAATTAGGGCTGCAGTAGAATGAATATAAACCAATCATTACAGAGTGGACGATTAAAGATTTATATCACTACAATAATTTAATGCTTGTCGCATTTGCTTAGAAACGCACAACAGAATAATCTATGTAATATTTTCCACGACGGATGGGCTATAGACAGTTGAATATTTTTGGAGTAGTGTGTCAACTATAATCAAATTGAAATAAGCACCCTAAAAGGTAGTTTTGTTTTTTTTTTTGTAAAATAACCATTTCAGGACTTCTTTATTTTTTCTTCATAATAATATAAACATATTCAAATTTCTAGCATTTGCCTCCATTTGTGGAGGGATTTGCATGGTTTTCTAATATTTTCTTCTATTTGTAAACGATAACTTATTTAGGTAAATAAAAATATGAAGAAGTCTCTATGTTCTACATTCATATCTGCAAGTACAAGCATATTCCCGAGTGATTGAATCGCTCTTATAATACGTGCATATTGACTATACCACCTTCCATCCTTAAATAATATTTTCGCACTTAACTCATAACTGGTAGAAGACCTTTACCATCCATTAAATCCCCAACAAACAAAATGTCAGAATTTATCCAATTCCTATAAAAATGAAAAAAAAGCATTTTCATTTTATACGTTACATTTGTATTCAGCCAAATCATTTCTCTACGATAGTTGCCAAAAGTACATGATCGATACAAGAAAAAGGACTGGTCATAATTAAATTATAGTAGAAATGAGAACATCTTGTTCTCCAGAAAACTTGCGTTTTTTGTATTATATTTACAATTCATTATCACCTTTCTACCACCAATTTGCTCAAAGCAATATTCAAAAATACATTTGCAACCTGCATTTAATTCATCGCTTAGATATTTAGGCCTACAAAACCAATATATATATAAAACGATGCAACCTTTGTTTGAACATCTAACATATCTAAACCACCTTCTTGAATACTATTTAATACATTTGACATTTTACCTTTGCAGGGGGGTGTTTCATAAAGCTATTCGTAAAGTTACGCATGCCTTTACGAACGACTTGTATATGAAAAGCCAAATGGGATGCTCAATCATTATGGATTATTATTTATTAAGTTAAACTGTGCAGATGTAGATTAACATTCTTATTATAACAACCATTTTTAATGCAAAGTATATTTTTTGCCATGATTTAATTGAGGTTATTGGAAATATCAGAAAAAACTTTGGGCTTCCTATCTGGCACTTCATATACAAGTCGTTCGTGAAGTCATGCGTAACTTTACAAACTCTTTATGAAACACCCCCCAGGTCTCCCTTTCCATAGGAAATCAAAAAATAACTTATCGAGCTCCTAATTATCTCTTCAGGACGAGACAAAACTTGTGATGTATAAATGATTTTCGACATTATCAGTGATTTTAATATCATTATTTTTCCTTTAACCCTAAAGGTAGTTATTCGCATTTGCAAGCAGAAAATAAAGTGTTTGAATATTGTGGGTAGAATAATATGTCCAAAAAACGCCTGGAGAAGATAACAATTAATAACAACTTATAAATGTACAACATGACTTTAGATCATAAACTAGTAACAACTACATAAACATTTACATAACATTCACAAGTGATGTACACACACACGCACACAACATACACAAACACGCACATATTCTTTCTCTCTCTCTCTCTCTCATTTCATATATTGCATTGAGGGGGCACTGGAACCAGTGCGGGGTTGTATATAATATGCTCTCCCGTTGCACCGGTCTTACTCGGTGTATGAAATACGAATTAACAAGGCCACCGATTAGACGGGAAATGTGAAAGGGGATTCACCCGGCCCCCCCACTCAGAGGTCGGAATGACCGCATGCGTGTTGCCAAAATGTCCGGTAAAGGGGTACTTTTCGTGCGACAAAGTCCGGCCCGAGAATTGTAAAAAAAGGGGTGTATTTGACTTTTCACCTGGAGATTTCTTTAAAAAGGGGGTGTTTTTTCTTTTTTTTCTTCATCTCTTTGGACTCCTGAGAAATTATCCGAATTTAGGGGGGTACATTGAGCATTTTTCCTGATTTAGGGGGGTCTCCAAGGCAGGAAAAGCCCGCGAAAAGCCCGCGAAAGGGGGGTTCGGAAATGTTGGCAGTCCTCAGATAGGGGGTGCTTTCAAAAAGAGGGTACGAGCATATGCGTACCCTAAATAACACTGAGTGGGGGGGGCCGGGGGGATTCAGCCAGTTTTTCTCTTCCAAATCGTTAACTGTTATTTGTTTATTCTCTTTTCTTTTTCTCTTTCCCCTTTTCTTCTTCTCTTCTTTTCTTCTCTTTTTTTTCTTCATTTTGTCCTTGTTTTCTCATCTTCTTGTTGTTGTTGATATTCAACAGCATCATCGTTATCCCCATCATGCCCTCCTTCTCTTTCTCCTCCTCCTTGTCATTCTTTTTCTTATATTGTTCGCCATTCGATCAGGCGCATGGTCCCCATTGCTCCGCCATTGAACCCCGCAATGTTCAAGCCGTCTGTTAATGGTTATGGATCAGTCATGTATCCGACATCGCTTGAAGATCGGATCCAATATTTTGTAAAGCCTTTGCCTATAGTTCCTTTTCATCACCATGTAGATGAAAGGATTAATCCAACATTGTGATGTGGAAAGAATAACCACAATTCTAAAGGCTACTGAACTCACGCATCCCCCAAAATGTACCGTGTAAATCTGCCACACTGCCGTAGGTAACCAGGCAATGAAGAATGCCGCAGAGACGGCGATGCAGACGAGCACTCCTTTCAGCTCCGATGGTTGCCGCCTACCCGGCATCCGCGGATCTCCCTTCGGGCCATTGCGCTTCTGCGTTTTGTCCGATGACATTGCGTCCGTTTGAAGTCTTCAGTGAGGACGCTATGCCTGAACCGGCCCTCCGATTCGGCGATGCGACGAGCTTGTTTTCTCGAAACGTTGGCAACCATTCCCTGTATGATTGTCATCATGATTGCGAACAAAAGCAGGATGTATGAAACACCGTACATGCTGTAAGTAAAGGGTCCTCGTGCAACAAAGTTAACGTAACAGAAACCAACCATCGGATAAAACTTAACATCAGAGAAAGGCCCCTTGCTTCCTACACCTATAAACACGGCCATCAGCGCGTAGTAACTAACGGTAACGAAAAAGGACAGTGCAATGGCCCTGGACTTGGTGATCATGGACGCGTACTTGTACGGGTAAACGACGGCGATGAAGCAATCGTAAGTGACAAGGAGAATGAGGATGATGGATATACCAAGATTCGTGAGAATCAGGTAAATACAAAACACGCAAAATCCACGATCGAATGGCCAAGACTTCAGAACTACTGCCGGTATCGAGGGTACCCAACCAATACCCGTACACAGATCCGACATCGATAGGAAGTAAAATACCACTTTCCTAGGTTCACTGATGTCCGTCAACTTTCGAAGCACCACAAAATTGAGCGTATTCCCAACGAAGCAAAGAAGACAGGAAACAACCAGGAAAGCTGTGTAAATGTACTGCACTGTTGCGTGTACCAAAACTTCTTGCGTTGAGCCGCCATTAGCTCGGCAGTTTGTTGAATCCATAGTTCCTCTGAGTCCATCAAAATCCTTACCAACCGCCAAAAACTTGGTCTTTTGTTTTTTCAATGCACATTCATTCCAAAAGTTTGATGGAAGGACCGTCCACGTACGTTTGCCCCACGAAAATATGCAGCCTGGTATCGATGTTCATTCTTTGGAATACGTTTGTCATTATGTTTCTTTCCAGACATGCAGAATAAAATGATGCTCCTTGTGTTTCTTTATCCCCTCTCTCTCTCTCTCTCTCTCTCTCTCTCGTTTTCAACCCATTAACCCCGCACGCTCAAGAGTGCTCTGACAGAGTCCAATTTTTATCAAGGCTTACTGCATGCTGATGACCCGACTTTATAATTAAACGCTTAGGTATGCTAACTTCGTTTCGCCCAGGTATAATGTCAATAAGTGAAAAACAGGTAATCAGAATTAGAGCTGAAGTGGAATAATTAAACCAGTCATTAGTGAGTGGACGATTAAAGATTTATATCACTACATAGTTTGTTGCTTATCGCAGTTGCCTTAAAATACAGAAAAGAATCGTCTTTGTAATGTAAAATTTTCACGACGGATGGGCTATAAAGAGTTGAACATTTTTGGAGAAGTGCGTCAACAAAAATCAAATTGAAATAATCACCCTAAAGGTATATAGTTATTCACATTTGCAATCAGAAAATAAAGTGTTTGAATATTATGGATAGAATAATCTTTCCAGAAACGCCTCGGGGAAGATGAATTTTGGAAGAATCGCAATTCAGTGTGTTGGAAATCGCTTTTTTAAAATAATCTAATTCTATTATAGTGCACTTAATGTATGACTTGCCATAATTCCTCTAATTATCTTTTTAAATTGTAAGTTTTAGAAGGAATATTCTACTTTAAGAGATGCAACTTGCAAGGCCCCCTCCAACATGTTCTGCCACTAATCAGTGTTGGGCCCTGTTTCAAAACTTGTTTTCAAACTTAATTTCAACTTTAAAATATCCTAAAAGCTAATAAAATCTCCAATTAATACTATATCGACTCGTCTAGCATGCACAGTCTATAGGACAGAACCCCCCCCCTCCCCCCCTCCCCCCCCCCCCTCCCCTCCTCCCTTCCCCCCTCCCCCCCCCCCCCCTCCCCCTCCCCCTTCCCTCCCCCTCCTCCCCCCTCCCCCCCTCCCCCCCCCCTCCCCCTCCCCCTCCCCTCCCCCCCCTCCCCCTCCTCCCCTCCCCCCCCCCAGGGTACGCATATGCATGTTCCCTCCTTTAGTCCTTCTGAAAAGGGTAGGCACTTTTGAGGTGACTTTGACGTGAGCGGATGTATTTCCTGTGGCAGGTCAGATAATATGAATATTAATCAGTGGGCGGACCGATTGAGAAAGGCCAGTCTGTTTATGAATATATTTCGCGCGAGTGTCAAACATCAAGATGTCTACTGGGATTCGTGGGAACTTGGCTACGAGTACGAGTACTAGCTCAACATCAGCATCAGGCCCATCATTATTGTGGACGCCTGTAGACTCTGAGGACAAGAGTCTTCGAGGATTTGTCCGGTCATTCGACGAAGTGACAGCGATCATAAAGTCATTCGAGGTGGCATCCTCCTTTACTTACGTGAAAGAGTATGATCGGTGCCATGCCCATGGCCATGATGATGATGATGATGATGATGACCCAGCCAGGCCAAGTGGTGGGCCTAGCGTTAGTAAGTATGGAAGTGGATCTTATTCCTAAATCTAGTCCTAGACTCTACTCCTATTAAACATCTAATTTAGTCTAGGTCTACCGTCTAGATCTACTCTACGAACAAAAACGTTAATGCTCGCCTCTAATATATAGTTAGACTCTAACTTGTTACATCTCATGATCTAACTCTTAGACCGAAAACTTCAGTCTCTCTAATTAAGTTAGAGGGTCCAATGATCGTCGGTTGTTTCACTGAGATAGCTACGTCTGGCTCCACATGATCCACAAGACCTCCGATTATAGATTATGTATTGGGAATGACAACAAATGTCAGTTTTATTAAAGAAATGACCCAAATCAGATGGTTATTTCTGTCTACTCTACATCATGCTCTAGACCTAGTCCTAGTGGCTAGTGCACGTGTGTGCACATTATTGGGGGATGAGTATAATAGTCTAGATAGTAGATACACTCTGTTAATGTCATTTTCTCTGTGCCCTGTGGAGGGAGGTTAACCACTATTCAGGCAATATGTTTTTGTTTCTTTTTCTTTTCTTTCCTTTCTTATTCTTCTTCCCTGCGTCTATGAACAAGGGAAGGGGCACGTTAACACACAACGCAGACTTCAGTCATCCGCCTTGGTGGGAGTCGAACCCGGGATCTTTGGTTCGACAGGCAGATGCTTTACCGACTGAGCGAACTCGCCCCCTTCTTCTTCATCTTCTTCCTAGGCCCTACACCTTTTTCTTTTCTTTCTTTACATATGCAGAGACGCCAAGTTCAAAGATCGGCAATGCCTGACATTTTCATTTTTTTTGGCGCGCAAGCGCGGGTGCGAGGGTATAACACACGTATAAGGTATAACGTTTTTTTTAAATCTAGCGCGCGCGCCCTGCGTGAGAGCATTTCCGCACCCTCGAAATACGTGATGTCGCGCCTAATGCGTGACACTTGGTAGCTCTGCATATGATAATTTACCAACATTTAAAATTCAAACTATAAAACTTATAATATACTAGTCCACAGTATTATCATAATAACACAAATATCAATTTTTGATGCAGTTTGAATATATGCAATATATTTTTGAATTTACATTTCCCAATGTATTTTAAACATTTGTACAAATGTATTTATGTCATTTGAAAACTCATCGCAATTTGGCTATGCCGCAATGATGTTTTTCATTAATAAACCAGTTATCTATCTATCTATCTGATCTAGATCTGGGTGAAATAACATTGATAATGATGTTGTTCTATTCAAGTTGTTGGGCCGCCAGTTGTACAAATGTAATTTTTGGTACAGCCTAGTACATGCAGCCAGGGCTTCCTTAGCTTAGCAGGATACTGAACAGTATCAGGATAGATCATAGAAGCCACCCCCCCCCCCCCAAAGGAAAAATGTAATGGTGTGGTGGACGGGGGCGTCCAAGTACGTACTTAGTAATAGAGCCCCCAAATAAGAAATAAGGTAAAATAACAACATCAAATTTGTTGTTGTAGTCTAGACCTACTTGTACTTGTACAAATGCAATTTTTGGTACAGGGCTTCCTTAGGACCTTCTGAACAATTTTGCCTATGTTACGACTCTAGGAGTCCCCAATGAAATATGTATAAAGGTACGATTTGGGGGTGGGGGCGTAGTCCCAGAGCCCCAGATAAGAAATAAGGTAAAATAACATTGATTTGTAAAAATGCAATTTTTGGTACGGGGCTTCCTTCTGACATTGTGAACGATGTGAGGGTCATGAAATTCATATGTGTGAATAGGAGCAGGGCGTCATGCCAGAGCCCCCATGTTATATATAATGTAAGATCACATGGTCTGTGGTTAATTATAGGACCGTCTGTTTTGGTTAAGGGATCTATTAGTCTTCGGATAGGACCTACTGAATGATGTTAAGGAAGGAGCCCCTAAAAAAACATTCACTTAAGTGTGAAGGGGGCAGGGGCGTTGTTCCTTTCTTAATAACATGTATTCACTGAAGTTTCACTGTTGTGATATTTCGATATGGTCATATCATGCGGCCCTGTACGATATCCTTGTAGTTTTTAGGTCAGCAAAACACTGCGCACATGAAGAGGGATGCGATTGGAAGGTTATACTGTCTTGCATAAACTACACTGAATTATCTTTCTCTAATTTTTTGTTGAAATACGTAGATCTAGAAGGGATACTATAAATGGTTTAGAAAAAAAATGGGCTCAAATAAAGGGTTACTGTAAATGCAGAAAAAATCTTGGTACATTAATTTTCACGGATTTCGGGCTGAGATCAGCAAGCAAAAAATTTTAGAACTGGAGAAAATATAAGCATGACTTCTTATGATCGTGTTAAACAGGCTGAATTGTGTGCAACACGAATGTAAGGACCCGCGAATAAGTTTTGGTGTCGCTCAGTGCGAAAAAATTAATCCCGCGAAGATAACAGTGTTTACAATATTTGTACTATGTGTTATGAAATATGAAATTAACGATAGAAAATCTATTTCGATTGCATGAAACTAAAATGCAATTCTATGAGATATGAGACTCAACCTTGATGATTAAACTCATTCAATTATCGTAGGACTCTATTCCTTTTAAATTGTAAAAATCTTTTTATCTATCACAGGTACAGCCAAACAACAAAAGGTCCGCTTCCAGGACATTCGGGATAGTGTTATCCCTGAGGATGGTGTGCCGTTTTTGACCGAGCGGACTATCTCCTATGCATGCATGTTCGGTCGAGACAAAAATGCTGCAAGGAAAAAGAGAGGAGAGGAGGAGAGGGCAAAACATCTTTCGGTGAGAAATTGAAATAAATGCTAAAAGTTGTTTTGGTTTAGGTCTATGGTTGTGCATGTACATGTACTTATCAAAAATATTTGTTTTTGTTTGCCTGGTGGTTCATGTACATTGTATGTTTGTTTTCTTCCTTTTTTCTTTGTTTTTTGGTTAACCATTTGATAATGGTGATTTCAGGTCAAGTTTCCAAACACGAGTCATATTTTTTTTTTAATTGGCAAATTCATTATATACCGGTAATATACATGTAGATATAATGACTGCTATGAGAGGAATAGTTGGTTTTATAGGCTCAAGGGGACGTTAACGTTACATCTTGATATGCCGGGGTGATAGCAGGATGTTACGTCCCTGGGAGACTAAAAAAAAAAAATATGCCTCAAATATTAAAGCAGTCTTTATATCTTTTATATACCGAATTCACAAAAAAATCTGCAAAGAATTCTTATCTTCCGTTTCTTGATTAAAGATTGGTTAAAACAACACAGAAAATCTGAGACACTGTCTGTAAATCTCCGCTGAAAAGTTGCCTGAGTGTGACAGTCAATCAAAATACAGTGCGGTGTGTTCGATTCCTGAATGATTGTAACATTCAAGAATCGCACACACACTGCAGTGTATTTTGTATCCGCGCTCACACAAAGAAACTTTTTAGACGTAATCCAATGGGGATCTTGCCAAAATTTATTTTTGCCGCCCGTTAACCGGGGCATGCGGGCATCTTGTAAAAGACTATTGACCAGTGGGCAGGCATCTTTTAAAAGACTATCGACTGGTGGGCGGGCATGCGGGCATCTTTAAAAGACTATTGACCGGTAGGCAGGCATGGCTAAAATCAAGTCTCCAATTTTGACCAATCAGAGGGCTAGATTTCTAAAGAGAGGCATATAAAGAATAATAATTAAAATGAGATCCCTAAGCACAGGGTCAATGCATACATTGTGGATGGGTGGAATTCGACCCTTCACTTTCCCCCTTTGCCTCCAAAATGTGCCCCCCCCCCAAAAAAAAAAAAATAAATAAATAAAAAAAATGAATAAATAAATTTTAAAAAATTATAATAATAATAAATCAATCAATAAATAGATATATATAAATGAAATAAATTAAAATGAATAAATAAGCAAATACAAATAAGAAATATACATATAAAGTATTTTTATAAATTTTACTCTTCTTTATATTTTCAGTAAAATTATTCTTGTTTCAGATGAGAGCTTGCTTGCTCCTTACCCACTTGCTTAGATTTACTAATATATGCAAATAAGAGAATACATTATTTAAACATTTGTGGCTTACACCCAGTAATTAAGATTGATTGATCGATCTGTATTGAAAAACAAGTCAGAAAAAATCTTGGAACAAGCGGGAATTGAACCTGCATCTACTGCTTGTCGGGCAGCGACTCTACCACCAGGCCATCCCTGATCCATAGCACAGTCACGATGAACTCGCTGGTTCTAACATTTTTTCTGACTTGTTTTTCAATACAGATCTATCAATCTGGGTGTAAGCCACAAATATGTTTAAATAATTGAAATTTCTCCCAGGAAGCATTACATATATAAAAAAGAATACATGTTGCCAATTTCAGATACACATACTTATAGTTTTAGCGATTTAGGATTATGACTCTTTCATAATTTATTTTTACTTTTTTTTTCTTCAGTAAAGATAATTCCTTTAATTCTTGCATTTTATTTTTGATGTTGTTATATTATACTGATAACAGGGTGACCATCCTACAAAAAAATACTACAAGAAAATTATGGAATCCAAGAAAAAGGGATGTACAGCTGGCATACACGTGAAGCAAGTGTCAAGATTCATCGACTACAAGGTAACAATTGTTGCTCAGTATATGCCCTTCACTTGTACTGATCAATCAAATACAAATGGGTAACTCTGTGACTTATTATACGAGCTCTTTTTCATTTGCTTTGTGCATAATATTCCATAAAATCATGTTTTCTTCGTTATTGATGACGGAATATATATTTGTTCCTTGCAGGGGGGGGGGGGGGTATAGAAACATATTTGCAATTATTATATTTAGGGTGCATGTATGGTTGAAATTTTTCTTGAGGGAAAATGAAAATTTTAGATTTTTTTAGTACTGAGCAAATGGAAGTTGAGCTCGCATGATACGTCATAGAGTTGGCAATTTGTGTTTGATTGATCACAACTTAAAAAATCCTAACTTCCTTATTTTTAATCGGAATTTGCCCAAACTTTCACTGACTTGTTTCTCTCATTTTTCTACTCCTATTAAAACTAACTTAATTTCAGGGTGGACTTCCCCTTTAAACATGTTGTTAAAAAAAATACATATAGTTCATGCACACTCTCACGCACATAAATAAATCATCTATTTGTTGAATATTGTATACTGTACGTACTAGAAGGGTTCCAGTTAATTGGGTATGATTCCTCCTCACTGATGCATATATTTTGGGTTTACATTTAGCAAATGCAATTTTAACAAAACTAATTTACCTGGATAGATTGTTGGTTTGTCACTGATAGTTTGCAGATGTTACACCATTGTTGTCCTCTATCAGTAGCTTTCAAAAGCACTGCTCTGAGCACCATACATTTTAAATAAGACTCCAGATAGCACTTATTGATAAAAGATATACTGGTAAATAGTGGTTAGGTCCTGCATTAGCAATGAAAATTGTGCCCTCTTTCTACTTTTTTGTATTAAAGAAAAAGTTGAGTTCTGGTTAAAAAAAGAAAATCAATTCTCACAGGGTCTAATGAAACTTACACTGAATGTTCAAGATTACTAATAAATGCCATGTGCCAAACAATTTTGGAAGAAAAATGTATACTGGCTGAGTAATGAGCATAGAAAGATAAGAAAATCAAGTAATAGCTAGCCCCGACACCATCTGTGTTGTCCCATATACATCTTTCTGTGTAGTGTGCTTTACCTTACCAAGACTGAGCCAAATTTGTTATGAATTTGATGACTCCAGAACCTTGCAGTACACACCAATACTTATATGCTAGATGATCAACTTTTTCTGATGCATTCCACACCCATTCTTTCACAATGCAATCGCGTTACCAGAACTCACCTTTATTTTATTTTATTTTATTTGAAATTGTGATTGAATTATCGCTTCTGGACATTTCTCCCTAATGTCTTTAATAGTCTGACGCACATTTTGATGCCAAAATTGTTAAAACTTGACCGTGCTGTTAGGTAGAGGTAGAGTCCCCAGTTTTCTGTTTTCCCAATGCAAACTCTTTGTTCTTCTGTATTCTAAACTTCAATTTCCTTCTTCTGTGACATGTAAAAAAAAACATGACAAAGCAATTGTAAATAGTGAAATCTAAAGGGCCTATATAACAAAGAATATCTATCTAAAACGTCACCCTCCTCATGGCCCAACTAAAGCTTTGCAAACATGCTAACCCTATGTTTAAACACTGCAAAACAGATTTGATCCAGATTTTCCACTGATGCACCGCTTAGTTATATTGGTTTTTGCCTTTCTTTAATGTCTTTTGCTTAAATAGGATTTTTTGCGAAATTCTGTGTTCTTCTTGATTCACTATATGAACATAACTGACAAAGAAAGCGGACAAAATATACAGTTCCTCAGGTAGACAAAGGAACATCCCTTCACTGCTATTATGTAAAAGTTAATATGCATGTGACACCTGTTCTACACATTTTTACATAATAGCAGTGAAGGGATGTTCCTTTGTCTACCTGAGGAATTGTATATTTTGTCCGCTTTCTTTGTCAGTCATGTTCATAGTGATTGTTGTGAAATGTTTCTGTATTGCGAAAAACCGGAGGCTTACACTATGAATATGACTGACAAAGAAAGCGGACAAAATATGCAGTTCCTCAGGTAGACAAAGGAAACATCCTTCACTGCTATTATGTAAAAATGTGTAAAAACGGGTGTCACATGCATGTTCCCTTTTTACATAATAGCAGTGAAGGAATGTTCCTTTGTCTACCTGAGGAACTGTATATTTTGTCCGCTTTCTTTGTCTGTCATATTCATAGTGTTAAGGTCAGGGTGTCAATGATCCAATGTCAGGAGGACTTGATTTATTGAGAAAATTGCATGTTTATAATACTTTTCATACATATCAGAAAGCAGCTCTGTATTCCAAAAATTTCAGCTTTCCTTGTTCTTGAAATATGCACATCTACAGGGTATGTAAAGAAAAAGTCGAAATGGCACCTTTCTAATTGGGATATTTTGATTATAAAGTGTAAACACCCACAAGAATAAGACTCACTTTTCCTGTTCTTAGAGTTAGATCTCATTCCCGGATGTCACAGGTGTTTTTATGATATAATCTTTCACTTTATGTAGAAATTTATCTAAGTTAATATAAGCGATTTCCAAAACCATAGTACATGTACACTGTTGGTCATAATGGTGGAATAATTATTTTTACCCCAGTTTAGGGAAGGATTTTAAAAAAATATTTATTTCTAATAGATCTAGATAATGGCATACATTCTCAGATTTTATTGAATATGATTTGCGAGTGTTTCTTTTGCGTGACTGCTAAATCATATGTGTGCTACTATGCTAATCAGCTAGGGAACCTACGTCCTTAAATCATAATTAACAGTAATGAGGATTAATGCCTCACAAAAGGGCACTTATATATGTGTGGCCATGCCTTGAACCATAATGCATGGCCCTACAGAGGAATTTTTCCTGTTAGGGGCCGGGGGAAAATGCAATGAATTTTTGACAATTTATTGCATTTCTTCGTTTTGGGGGAATTGTGGAAGGGGCCGCGTACCCTGGCAAACACTGCGTACAGTACAGTCATGATTCAGGGGCTAAGCAATGGCCTCGTTACTGTGAGGCCCCAGGATAAAAATTGTGTCGATCAGCTATATATCAGTGCCCTTTTGTGAGGCATTAATCCTCATTACTGTCAATCATGACTTAAGGACGTAGGTCCCTTAGCTGATTAGCATAGTAACACATGATGAAGCAGTCACGCAAAACAAATACTCGCAAATTAGTATTCAATAAAATCTGAGAAAGTATGCCATTATCTAGATCTATTAGAAATAAATAATTTTAAAAAATCCTTCCCTAAACTGGGGTAAAAATAAATATTCCACCTTTATGACCAACAGTGTAGATTAAAACAAAAAACAGCTATCCCTATTCTATTTTACACTATTGAATATTATTGTAATTGGCTGAAGTTTAATGTATTATTACTCATGTTTTTGTTATAGGATTGTAACTCCAAGTGGAGTAAGAGAAAAGCAAGTGAGGAGATCAGGCTTGCTCGCCTTAGAGGGGAAACCCTTGCCTCTGAGAGAAGATTCTACATTAGGCTGCCCAGCCACGAGGACCACCAAAAGACACACAGTGTGGGCGAGGTATACCAATACTAAAATGTATCACCTGTGTAGGTCCTTATGTGTAAGATTAGTTTTCTTTCTATCTCAATTAACCAAGACAGTGTGTTGCTAGCCATGATCTGTACCACATTATGACAACACCAGTTAAAGGTAATACAAAGTTTTGGTATGGGGTCATGAATTTGGTTCAAATGAACATATTGGAAGCATATGCGATCCTACAATATTCAGTGATCGTTGTCACGGTTGAAACCGAGTCCAAAGTTATGAAATTTTAAATAATACACTCTTTATGTTGTATAGCTCCCTCTCAAGGTCAATATATTAATTAAGCTATAAAACAATGTTTCACGACTCAAATCGACCGATTAGCGTCCCGTTTGAAAATTATATATCACAACTACATATTCTGAGATTTTCATGGTCGCAGCTACCATTGTACGCCGTAGCAGCTATTTGAAATTCATTAAGCACCGGTAAATTTTTATATTTAATATTTCTCGAAAGCTAAAGTGTTTTAGGGTCTGAAATTTCTAGTGATTATAATACATCCACAAGGGCATCCAATATATCAAAATTGTAAAGAATCACTTCCAGCCAATTTTCAAAATTTCCCAAAACTTTGTATTACCTTTAATGCTCATAATTTGTTCCTGTTCCCTCCTAAATTCAAAACTCTGTTTTTTAATGAAAATGTGAAAATAAATGTGTTAAGTCAGTTTTATAGTTTAGTGGATCATGACATATTTCATAAAATGTTCAAATATACACTCTCTGAAGAAAAATAAATCCCAGTTTATCCATATCTCTGCAAAAAAAAGAAGTCACCTCAGTCTAGTCTTTCTCCAAATATGGAATACACATTCATGAATAAGGAAATCAAGTTACATGAATAATGCATCGTGCGTAGAGTAATGTCAGAGAAAATAGACTTCCAATTTTCGGACAGTTTCTTTCAAAATTACAATAACTTGAAAAACATTTGAAACTACATAGTCATGTGGAAAGTCTGGGCTCATAAATCCCCCAAACAGCGACACAATTAAGATGCAATGTTTTGACGACAGTGAGCACCCACGCGGAGCAGCGTCAGTGCTTGCTGTCATCAAAACAATGCTTCTAAATTGTCTTCTGGCATTAGAAGGCAGTTTGGGTTTTTTAAAGGCCCACTGCACTACTTGTAGCTACTTGCGTCCTCTATATAGCAAACAATGCCTAATCGGTGACCATTGGTCCCCCATAATCCTTTTCTTCTGTTAACTGAGAGCTGAGTTGATGAGATTAGCACCTGTCCAGTGACCTTGCAGGGAGTTCTAATCCCCTGGCCAAACTAGTACATATGGGCTTTAAACAAACATGTGGTTAAATTGGTGGGCTGCAGTGCTGCATCTTGACTGTATAGACCTGTCTATTTTTATCTTAAGTTACCCGATTCACTGGAAGAAAGGTTTTGGTCGAGACAGAGCTAGAACAAAAATATAAATATGGGCCAGTAATTTTGTCTTGTATCTATCAGGCTATAGTTCATCCAAACGTTGGACAAAGCCCTCCTCATAACATTTTCATTCTCTTCTGTCTCTAGCTGTCCTAGTCCAAGTTTCTGCTTATTATCCACGTATCTTTCGCGATGGAAGCTTGTACGCCTGAACCTGTGCAAGCTGTTGTAGGTAGGAAACATATATGTCACATTGCATCATGCCTGCAAACCTACTTGACTAAATGCAGTTTATATATATATATATATGTATATATATGTCGGGGGGGGGGGGGGGGGTAATCACCTGTTAGGCTGGCCGGGCTCCCTAAATGTGTGACATACACGTAGGCTTCCATATTTTTAAATCTATTTTGTTTAAAGATTGCAGATATTAGCCTGGCAGACACATTTGGCTCCTGACATAACGGTAACTTAATTTTGTCCGAAAAAAGTGCAAAAACATTGTAAATCTATAGATAACTTCATCAATCTATTCGATTTGTCTATATTCGGTAGACAAATCTATGCATTGAGAGGTTGTATAACAATTGATATTTTGATTTGATTCAGAAATGTCAAAGTCTGTATTTAAAAAAATAAATGAAGAGGGTTTTCTTTTGTATGATTATTTTAGGTTTGTTGAGCAAGCAAAGTATATTTTAGTCATATTCTAATCATGTGCAGGTAAAAGAGAATGATTTTCAGATTATATCATTAATTTTTTTATAATTTGATCCAGGGGAAAAGAGAGACTTTGGCTCCTTCCATTCTTCTAATGTACAGGAACTTGTTGAAGCAGCCGAGGTGAGCATCTTGTGTAGGTAGTCCAGCTCCTCGCCTGGAATTTGATGTGTCTTTGGTCCGAATTGATTGAAATATCGCCTTGTGTTGTAAAATCCTATATGATTTGGGAATCCCAAAGCATTATGGAATGACATGATATCTCTCGTTGCCATATTCTTCTCGGAGAGAATTATGCCCTTTATCTTGGCTTCCATTAATATGGTGCTCTAGCATTATAAGGAATTAAATCCCTGTCAGGTACCCATTTGCCTCCTGGGTCGAGTGTAGCAAATGTAGATTATATGTCTTGCCACAGGACGTCGGTCTTGCCAAAAGGCGGCGGGACTCGAACCTGAACCATGTGATTCAAGGTCAGGTGATGTATCCGCTAGACCACGTCGACACCTCCACAGTCCTTAAGTTCTTAGACAAGGTACTAGGGACTTTGAGATTTGCACGTCGACATAGTGGACGTCACAGTGCCTTACACGGACGTCACACGTAGCAGTCCACTATGTCGACGTGCACATCCAACAGTCCCTACTAACTCAGCAATGGTGACCTACTGTGCTTATATCTCCACTCCTGCATTTTTCTTCCAGGACTCATACTTGCCGCCCAGTTTTCCGTTTGAGGTCCCAGCATTCACTCACTGCAAAGACTTGACGTTTGGAGAAGAAGCAAGGAGAAAGCATTTTCTGCTTGAGGTAAATTGAGATAGGGGCCTCATTTACAAGCACAAATTGCTTCTTAGAGGTCCTGGGGGGTGTTTCACAAAGACTAAGATTGACTTTAAGTTGGACTTAACTGTGGCAGGCGATTCATGCCACTGGTTGTTCTCACCATTGGTCTCTCAATTATGATCTTTAGATAATATTTTTTCCTTCAGTGATAAACTATCAAAAAAGGTAAGTTCTCTAGATTTGTGACATGATTTGTACATCCCTTGAGAGACCAATGCCAGTAAATGGTGAGAGCAAACAGTGGCATGAACGGCCTGATATAGTAGAGTCCAACTTAAAGTCGATCTTAGTCTTTGTGAAACACTCCCGAGGATTGTAAATTTGTGTAACCTGAAAATGTTCTTTAACTTTTGCAAAGTTGACAATTGCCTTGATGAGTGAAAGAGAGGATATGGAAATCTTTGTTATGTTATTCACAGGACTACAATTGGTAATCAACGAAGGAGCAGTCAGTACTAATGTAAATGATTCCTTAAAAAACAACCTTCATTATACATGTGTATGATTATCCCTTGATAGCAATTGAAATCTGAAGATTTTTCGCCATTCTTGGTCATAATACAGTAAATGGGTACCTGGTAGGAATTTATTCCTTGAAACGCAGCGGCGCAACAGCTGCACTGCTAAAGCCAGGGTAATTACATTGTATGCTGTATTATTGTAGAGCGCTTAGAGACTTCTGATTAAGTAAGTGTTAGGCGCTATATAAGCAAGGATAATTATTTATTATTATTACAGTCAAACCTGTCTATAGCGACCACCCAAGGAAACACAAAAAGTGGCCTTTGTAGACAGGTTCCTTTAGTACATGATTCAATGAGAAACCATATTTAAAGCTATGGTCACAAATCAGAGCAGCGACCGACCAATCAGTAGCCTGCTCGGTCGCTGCTGGAATTAGGCATCGCCCAGCGATTAGGTCGGTGCCCGGGCGGCGACCGCCCAGGCACCGGGCGTATTTTGGGCGGCGAGTGAAAAGTGAGCAGGCGCCGCCCAAATTTTAACTCCGCGCTAAAACTTCAGCGGCGACCCGGGCGATGCCCTAAAAACGAGCGGTGCCTGGGCGGCCGCCGCTCGGTGGCCGGGCAGCCGCCCGGGCAGAATTGGTTAAAAAACTCGCCGCTCGGCCGCCGAGCAGGCAACTTTTTGCTAATGTGACCATAGCATTAGGGAAACAACAAATGTGGCCTTTGTAGACAGGGTGGTCACTAAAGGAGTTTTGACTGTAGCAATCAGGTGACCCTATCTCTGTGTTTCACATTGTTCAAAGGACTGTACATTCCTGAATCATGGAGCGTTCGGAGCAACCCTGAAGGACGCCCTGGACGTGGCGCAACAATGGCAGCGCTATATTGAAAGACAACCGCTTAGATTCTTGACAGGGAGGTCCTTCCACATATGGCTTACATTACCAGGAGACTGGCCAAATTTGTAGGTAACTAGACTGTAGACCAAAGACAAAGACAGGTGTAGCAGTGTAATGGATACCGGTAGTTCTCGGACTGTGGATCACATGGTTCGCCGTTTGAGTCCCGCTACAGCACTCATATCCTTTGATAAGATTTTAATGGAGATTTGCTGCTCTCCACCAAGGTGTTGAATGGGTGCTGGTACAAATGAATTCCTGGAATGCTGTGAGCACCCGTGAATCAGTAGCCTAGCTAGAGCCGGTGTAAATTTGGAATGCCCAGGGCACCTTGCGGGGTGGATTTGTGCGCTATGAAAATATCCAATATTATCATAATTATTATATTATTATTCACTTTTTTGTATGTATATATTCATTGTTGCATTGCACTATTGTGCTGTATAAACTAGTTTTTATGCAACTTGTCAGATGCCCCCAAGAAGGTCGTAAGAGCTTTGCATTAGTCCTGTCGTCATCAGCTAGAGATTGCCAAATAGCCCGCTATTTTTGATTTGGGAAATAATCCCGAAGTTACATATCGCGTCTTCGTCAGCTCGAGACTCATAACTTGAAACTTGAAACTCGAGCTCGAGATATTTTGGTATTTTGCGTTTGGGCGTAGTGTGAGTCTTTGGGCTGGTGAAGACGCACCGGACAAATAGCGGGATATTTTGCAAACTAGCCCAAGATATCTTGGGATGATTATCTCGACCAGATATCCCGCTAATTGCAACTTCGGGCTGATGAAGGCGCAAATTAACTGGATAATTTGCGATCAGGATAGTTCAAATAGCGGGATATTTGGCAATCTCGGGCTGATGAAAACAGGCCTATTGTGTATTGTATAATCTTTACCTTTTTCCCTTTTTGAAGGAAGTGAAGCAAGTGGAATAGTCCTCGTGCCCAATGTCACCACAGCAATCAATGCTGTTGTCCGGAGCATTCCATTAAGAAGGGGGAGAAGATATTCTGCCTCAACATCACATATGGTAAGTAACAAAAGCTTCTCTTGCCCTTGTTTTATTACCAAGATTTTTCTCCTTTTTAGCATTCATGGATGGATTGTCTTTTGTTTTCCTAAAGACTTGTTCCTACATATATATGCTGCAGTTAAAGATGAAGTTGAGTTCTTGTCATGCGATTGCATTGTGAAGAAGCGTGGAATCGACCAGAAAAGGTTGATCATCTAGCATATAAGAATTTGTGTGTATTGCAAGGTTCTGGAATCATCAAATTGATAAGAAATTTGGCTAAGTCTTGGTAAAGTTACAAACACTGTACACAGAAAGATGTATATGGGACTACACGAACACATGGGGTAAAAATCCTACCCAGATTTTTACGATGTTACAGTACAGTGTACATGACATATTTAGAATATGAAGGCATTTGAAGAGCCATGCTTTTAAGGGAACATGTCTTATCTGATGTTCTTCCACACTTGCATAATAAGAATGATAATGCTCACAAAATTTTTCACCTCTTCTCAGAACTCAACCTTCTCTTTAACTGAGCACTACAGTTTTATGTTTGTTTGTTTTGGGGGTTTGGGTGGGGTTTTTTCTGTTGGGTGGGGGGGGGGGAATGAAAGGTATGGGAGCATACTACTTGTATAATAAGTAATTACACATGGGACGATTATTATTGCATGCAGCCACAGTTTCCATTCCCAGTTACCACTCATTAAAATACACACAAAAACTGTTGGGGTTTCCTGCAGCATACTTGAACAAGCCTACTTGAACCCAGGCGGGAAGAGGTAGATTTTAGAAGTACAAGTGTATATATGATGTATTTAATTGGCTTACTATTGCATTTTGAATTGTATTCATTGCAGAGTAAATATTCAGATTTAAACAAAGACATGTATTGACATGGGATTGTTACTTTATTGTTTGTAGAATAAGTGCTTTAATGCTCATGACATTTAAAGAAAGGGGCACAGTAATAGTAAATGTTGGGATCTTTAAGGCAAAATTTATGTCTCCAACTCTTTCTCCTCCCTCCTGTATTTTTTTTCTTTCTCTTGTTTTGTTTCTCTCTCTATCTCTTTGTATTTTCTCTTTATGGTGTGTGTCTCCCCCTCTTTCTTTCTCTCTCTCTCTCTCTCTCCTCTCTCTCTCTCTTTCTCTTTCATACTTCTTTCACACACGTTGGTCTCTTCTTCTTTGTCTCTTCCTCTGTAATTTACCCCACCCCCTCTTTCTCTCTTCAACCTGTTTACCCCTTCTCCCTCTCTCTATCCCTTTATGTGTAATCTTTGCTCTCTATTCCCCCTCTGATCATCATTTTGTTTCTTTCTATGGCTATCTTTTCTGTCAATTCCCCTTCTCTTTTCTTTCTCTCTCTCTCCTCTCTCTCTCTCTCTATCTATCTCCTCTTCTCTCTTGATCCTTGAATTTTCTACCACCCAATCATTTTGTGTGGCTTATTGAATGTACACCTGCAGGTGCTGTCAAGAAGCTTCTAAAACACACGGCCGAATCTCTGCAACTTGAATACCAAGAAGAGAACCTCAATCTACCTCTTACATCAAAAAACAGGTAGTAAGAGTAGTAGTCGGGTGATTAATGGAATCTATAGTGGTTCTGGGGGATGTTTCACAAAGACTAAGATCGACTTAAGTTGGACTTGAACTATGGCAGGCCGTTCATGCCACTAGTTCCTTAACCATTCCTTGCATTGGTTTTCAAGGGACGTACAAATCGTTGGTCACAAATCTACCAAATTT